GCACTTAACTGCTTGCGCCACCGGGCCGGCCCCAACGGCATTTCTCTTTTAAATCACAATATTTAGTCCTGCCAGTTTAGTGCCAGCCCCAGCTTGGGACAGCCTCTGCTTCCTGGTGGCAGGGAGACAGGAATGTAGAGGCAAGACAAACCAGTGTTACCAGAGCTGGGCCTGAGATAGGACTGGAAGCTGGGGGAAAGAGGCAGATGCTCCAGGAAGGCTCCTAGGAAGAGGTGACCCAGGATGACCCCTGTAGGAAGGTAAGGTATTCCATGCAGAGGAGCTTGTGTAAGCAAAGCTCCAGAGGCCTGAGAGATTCAGTCGTGTTCTAGGAACTGCAAGAAACATTCCTGGAGTTGGGGTGATGAGATCAGAGAAGTCAGGGTCTTGGACTGAAGGGCCTTGAAGGCCACTGTGAGGACTTTGTCTTTGGGGAATGGGAAGTTTGGGGCAAAGGAGGGCAAAGATCAAAGGTTGGAGTTAAACTGACAGGTGGCAGGGTTCAGGTGAGAAATGGCAGACCGATGAGGAATGACTGCGGAACATGCAGAACGAAGCCCCTCCCCACCTGAGGGACTGAACTGGAGATGGTAGGGGGTGCGGCGAGGGAGGGTGGATTCCCAAAGGAAATGCCTTCCCTGAGAAGGGGACACCAGTCCTTTGGGTCTGGGTTGGGTTACAAGGAGAGACGCCTGAACAGCCAAAGGGAAGAGGCGTGGGGGAAGCCCCAGCCTCGGACCTCAGACTGTGAGGTTCCCCACCCGCGCGCCGGGACCCCGAGATCCCAGGCCAGTGGTGGCAGGCGCATCAGACCCCCTTCCCTGCCCGCCCCTGGGCCGCTGCGGATCTCTAAGCCCCGCCCCGCAGGCCTCGCCCCTAAGAGTCTGAGGAGGGGAGGGCCAGACGCCCTCCTCCCTTCTCCGCGCTTTCTCTGCGGGGGAGGGGCGTGAGGCAGCGCGGGGGGCGGGAGAGGATGAGCCGGCGTCTCCATGGCAACTAGGCTGGTGGTCCGCCCTGGAGACCCGCGAGGGAAGCAAGGAGAAAGCCAGGGAGGAAGGCACCGTGGGCCCGGCTCGGGTCTCCAGGGAGGAGTTGGGGAACACCGGGCAATTCTCACTGTTGGTTCCCGGTGGCGCAGGGAGCCCGTGTGTTAGCGAGTGTCTGTATGCAAGGTTCTCCGGGGTGAGTGTGCCGGCGCGTGTCAGGGTTTGTGCATGTGTGTGAGCGTGCGCACGTGGGCACAGGCGTGTGCGCGGGAGTGCCCGTGCAAGGTGTGTGTGCCAGCCTGCATTCCCGTGCGTGTGTGTGTGCACTCGTGTGTGCCCCTAACTGTGCCAGGGCGCGCGCCGGCGGGAGAGTCCCGCCCCCTCCCCAGCCTCCGGCCGCCCCTCCCCGCCCCCCGCCGCCTGCGCCGGCTGCATCCTCGCCTCCAGCTCGCTCACCCCCTCCTCCCCGCACTTTCTCCGGCTCTGCCTCCTTCTCGGCTCACACAGCCGGACTCCGCGCTCTTCTCGCTGGCCGCCCTGGGAATCGCCGGCTGCCGCCGCCCAGCCTGCACCCGCCGTCCCCCCAGTACTTGGTCACCTGTTGGAGGCACAGAGACAGGTGCAGGGGGCTGGGCCGCCTGGGGGCGTGAGGGTGAGGGTGAGTGTATGTTAGTCTGTGGGTGTCTACGGGGGGTGTTTAGCTCTCTGGGGGCTGCAATTTCTGGCTCCTCTGGAGAGCCAATCTCAGGAGGAGGCATCTGAGGCAGGAGTCCCCACCTTGGGCTGCAGGGGTGGAGGGACAGGCAGGCAGGCAGATCCTGGGGGTGAATGAAGGGACAGTGGGAAATGAAAGCCTAGAGGAGTGGGTGACACCGGGAACAGACAAGCACCTGATGCAGAAGGATGGCCAGAGCCTCAGAGAGATAGAGGAGGGGGCCTATGGGGCCGCTTTGGGGGTAGGCAGGGCCCAGGGGCAGAAGGAAGCCAAGAATGAGGGGCAGGAGCTGGGAAGATGACAAAGGGACAATCTAGAGGTAAATGGGCAAGGCCGAGGTGGAACCAGGACCTATCTGGGGGCAGTGGGCTGGCAGCCCAGCCCCTGTGGAGCAAAGCTTGGGGTCTGGAGGGCCCAGGCCTCCTGTCTGCCCATCAGCTGGCACAGGCTGCCCTCTCCCTCAACACTTAGGAAGGAAGGCCAGTGAGGGCCCCACAGACCTGGGAGATTGCCACCTGGCCCTCAGCCAGCAGACGGTAGGTATGAGGAGTCAGCCCAGCGCTCACACTCTCTCGAACCTCCCTCCCCCAGCCAGGGGTGCTGCATGAGGGGCCGCAGGGGCGACCGCATGACCATCAACATCCAGGAGCACATGGCCATCAACGTGTGCCCTGGGCCCATCCGGCCCATCCGCCAGATCTCTGACTACTTCCCCCGCCGGGGACCAGGACCCGAAGGGGGCGGCGGGGGCTTCCGGGAGGCCCCTGCGCGCCTGGGCCCCCTGGCCCTGGCCCCCCCTGCATCCTTCCTTGGGGCCACCACGCCCGAGGATGGAGCGGAGGTGGACAGCTATGACTCGGATGATACCAGTGAGTTGGGGGGCTTGAAGGGCCCAGGGTGCTCCGGGCTTGTGGGAAGGGGACGAGGCCCTGTTGCGGGGGGAGGCGGCGGGCACTGCTGCCACAGCTGCAGTCAGGGTGGAGATTACAGCTTCAGCAAGGCTCAATATTCAATATTTCTGCTGAGACACTCAACCACCCACACAGCCCCAATTGCAGCCCAGCCGGGGACCCAGACGCACACACACTCGCAGGCTGACAGACACAGACACACACACACACACCTTCCCAGCCAGCACTCAGCCGGCCTGCCCACCGGTCTCTCACACACACCTGTGCTTACATACTGACTGACGCTACCTCTTCCCTCTTCTCCAGCGGCCCTGGGCATGCTGGAGTTTGACCTTCTCT